TTATATATATATATATATATATATATATATATATATACATATATAATAATAATATATATATTATATTATATATANATTTTTTTTATATATATATATATATTGATCATCATATATTTCGATATTATATTTCGATAATTTAATTTTAACTAAGAGAAGTTTAAGAAAAATATATGAAAATATTTATAGTAAAATGTATATCATATTAATAAATTTTAATTTATAAATTCAACATTATTTTTATTTTTAATTTATATTATTTATATATGTATGGATATGTAAGATAATATTAAATGAAATTATATAACAAAAGATATTATTGATTATGTGATCTGTGTTATTGATGAAGATTTAAGAAAGGAAATACAATATTCGATTATAATGATCGGACTGCCATCTAGCAAGTTTACATTTCTATCTGTGATACATATATATATAAATGTGTTTATAAAGCATCGTAAATACAATTCAAAATTATTCATTATGCCAATTTTAGATAAGCGTAAAGGAGATGATATTTTAGCATTAGTTCCTGCTTCAAAAAGGACTAAAAATGAGGTGGTTTTTAGTAGTAGAGAAAAAGCGGTTGTACAAAATGTAAGTTAAAATAACCTTACATTTATGGATTCTAATAAATTTTTTTAATAAAAATTTATTATATTGCTTTGCAGGGTCCACCTAGAACATCTTCTTTGTTTGCACCTATTATGCTTCTTGAAGGACACCAAGGAGATATATTTTCTCTTGAATTTCATCCAGAGGGTCAATATCTTGCTTCAACTGGCTTTGACAGACAAATTTGTATGTTATCAATAATTTAAGTTCAAATATATTTTTATAAATATATTTTATAATATATTCTGTAGTAAATATAAAAATAATATTATATTACAGTTATTTGGAATGTATATGGAGAGTGTGAAAATATTTCTGTAATGACTGGACATAGTGGAGCAATTATGGAATTACATTTTAGTCCTGATGGCAATCATTTATATACTGCTAGTACGGATATGACATTGGGTTTATGGGATATAGCTGTTGGAACTAGAATAAAAAAACTTAAAGGTCATACTTCTTTTGTGAATTCTGTATCTGGAGCAAGGAGAGGTCTTACACAACTTTGTTCAGGAAGTGATGATAGCACAATACGTGTTTGGGATCCCAGAAAAAGAGGACAATGTTATACTTTAAATAACACATATCAGGTAAACAATACATAACAATATTTTCAAATTATATTTATATATTTCTAAATTCTTATCTAGATTTTGGTTATATTTTTTATTTTTATTTTAATTTTTCATTTAGCTCACTGCTGTAACATTCAATGATACAGCAGAACAAGTAATAAGTGGTGGAATAGATAATGATATAAAAGTATGGGATTTAAGAAAAAATTCTATTCTTTATAACTAAAAGGACATTCTGATACAATAACTGGATTAAGTCTTAGTCCAGATGGTTCTTATATATTATCTAATGCTATGGATAATACATTGAGAATTTGGGATGTAAGACCATTTGCTCCTTATGAACGTTGTGTAAAAATTCTTTCTGGACATCAGCATAACTTTGAAAAGGTATATTTTTAATTTTAATTATATGTACTATTGAGATTTTATTTATTTCTATTTATTTAAATAATGATTCTATTTATTTAAATAATTTTAGAATCTTCTGAGATGTGCATGGTCATTAGATGGTAGTAAAGTATCAGCTGGATCATCAGATAGATTTCATTACATTTGGGATACTACAAGTCGTAGGATATTATACAAACTGCCTGGTCATAATGGTTCTGTTAATGATATTGATTTCCATCCAAAAGAACCAATTGGTAATATAAAGTTATGATTTTGATAATTGATATATTATATTATATATAGTATATATGTTATATATATTATATTGTATATAGTAGGCTAATTGCAAATATGTTTTTTTTTTGCTTTCAGTTTGTTCTGGTTCCAGTGATAAACAAATATATTTAGGTGAAATAGAAACTACACAATAAATAAATTGAAATTATTTTCTATGATTTTTGTATTTAAGAAACATGTATAAAATAAAATATATAATACTACTAATATTACAATTACAATAATTGATCATTTTATATTCCTTTTATACTTTCATTATTAATTGGATAATAAAATATTAAAAATAATAGTTTTTATTAATTCATTTAATAAATAAAATATTTTAAAAATGAAAAAAAATCGTATTTTTTTATTTTTTAACTAAATAAAATATTTATATATATAATAATTTCAATAAGTTTGTTAAATTCTCTATTGTATTTTTAATTTATTTTGAAACGCTTATCGATCATTCTATTCAACTTCACGTGATACGTATATATAGTTTAATATACGTACTGACGTTTCTAATTCTTTATTCGTTTATCTTTTACAGTCTTCCAAATTTTTATTTATTCTAGTTTTAAGGTATATATTCTGTTCTTAATTTTCTTTTATGAGAATCATTTTAAATTTTATGTTAAAATTATTTGAAAATTGTTTGATAATGCTATTTATATCATTCAGATGAAGTGCAAAATATTGAAAAAAATCTTCCACGCAATAATTATATATTAATCATAACGAATAAAACAATCGATAAATTTATTCAATATTAAAATTTCATATTTTTTTCATATCATTTTAATTATTTATTTTAAATGAATTTAACCTTTTTTTTAGATTTTGAATTTTAAATTTAAGATGAACTTTATTTATATTTTCATATTATATTAATAAAAATATACTTGTACTCGTACTTTCTAGATTTGTAATTTATTATTCATACACATCTAAGAAATGTCAACTCCATGGGCAAAAATTCAACCAGTAGAAGGACCTGTTAATTTGTTAGAGATAACTTCAGAACAACTAGCAAAAAGTTTGCAAGAAAAGTAAGTGTTCTAATGTTTCTTGGTTTTCATTGAATACAAGTATATTTTTTATAGAGAATTAAAAAAATATCAAAATGAGACAGAAAATGATGTAAACATTCAAGACTGTGCAATATATGAAACCAATGATACAGATAGCGATGAAGTAATTGCACATATGTTACAAGATCAATTTAATAAAGAATATGATCTAATGTTAAAACGCACAGAGGAAAAATTCAATCGTGATTCTAAAGGTATATATATGATTTATATAGGTTTTTAATATTATATTTTCATTTTTTTGACTTCCTTTATTTTACAGTTAATATATCATATACAAATTATCGAACTTCTCTGTGTGATGATCAAGATGATAAAGACACAGACATTGAAGATACAACTAAAGATTTTGATAGATTTGTGGTAAATATTTTTTGATACAATAAAAAAATATCTTTATATAAAATTTTCTATTTATAAATTTTGTGTTTACATATTTAATGTCTTATAGAGTATAGAGAAAGAATATGCTTCTATACCACGTTGTGGATATAGAAAAATGGGTGGTGAGGGATCTCAAATTGTTACAAAGCATGATATGTTGATGTCTTCAAGAATAAATGCTTGCAGAGTGTTACAATTCCCACCAGGAATTCATACAGGAGATACAGGAGGATTTGATGTTAAATTAAACAATAAAGTATTTAACAGTTTAAGGGCTCATAGTCATGCTCAGTGTTCTAAACAAAAAGCAAAAGCACGACCACATACAAAATAAATAAATAAAATATTTGTAAGTATAAATATATTATAATAATATATTTATGAATTTAAATCTACAACACTATTTATTATTGTACAGGCTTTTTCTTCTACGTATAAACACAAATTGCTTTTTATTAAAAAAATTTGGTCTTAGATATATTAAAATGTTATTTTCGACATTACATTATCAAATGTTATAATATTGTCAATATTATTCTATATTATAATATAAAAGTACAAAAAACAAAATAAATAAATCTCATCAATTGCTATTTTTACTTTCATATTTTTGAATTGTATTATTTTTATTTAAAATGAAGTACTATGTGGAATAAATAGTGTAACTTTCATTATTATTTTACATCATTATTATTAAATTATTTTAATCATATAAAAAAGTACAAAAATTTGATTTAATATAAACTGTTATATTTTTCAATTAGATTTAAGTTTTACCATTATTTTGTATTCTTATTCTATTCAGGTTAGTTCTTATTCTTTTACAGTCTTCCATTATTCTTATATTCTCTAAGACTAGATTGGAATGGCATCACAATATCTATACAATAACCAAAAAGAATATAATTAATGAATATAATTAAAAAAGATGTAAATATTTTTCTTTATAATAAAATAAAATATTTGGTGAATCAAAAATCATAAATCTGTTTGTATCAAGACATATTATTAGCAATTCATAAATTCAAAAACATAACAGTAATAATTTTTTTCATTCTTTAAAAAAATATTATCAAATATCATCAAATTTTAAATTATTTTATCATAAACAATTGCTTTATATTGTTTATAAGTGAAATATATTTATAAAAAAAATGATTTAATATATCTTTTTTAAAGATTAATTTTCTTATAATATATTAATTTTCTATAAATAATAAAACACAATTCTATGTTTTTTAAGGCATATTTTTATTTTTGATATACATTACTTTTTAAAATTTAATTACATTTCGATTATTTATTTATATTATTTTCTAATTCAGGTTTATTTTCCGACGATGATGGAAGATGTTCCTTTCTATAAATAAAATCGTGAAATTTTTTTTAAATTAAATTAAAAATGAAAATTATTTTTGGTGTATTATATCGATGTATCTTACATTTCGATTGGTGACACTTCATTGAACTTATCATTGTTGGATAATTTTTGTCTCGCTTCATTTTCTTTCAGAGTTTCTTTCAAAATCATATTATATATTTGTCTAGTATTTAACCGAGGAGCTGAATAATTACTTTTTTCAATAGAATTTTTTAATGATTCAAATATACTCTCCTTTCCTTCTTGTTTAGTTGTTCGTATAGTATCATCTTGCATTAATCCTAACTGTAGGGTTCTCATGACTATAAAATATTACTTTTGTTAATAAACTTCGTTTTTCGTTATATATTTATTTATAGTCTTATTAAAAATCTAAAATTTATTATACCAGGTAATCCAAGATCTTTATCTTTTTTCTCTGATATTATATCTTCAAACGAATATCGTGGTAGATTTACATTCCTCGATTTACTTCCGGTTTCTCCCAAATGGATATCTGATAATCTTTCATTATTACTAATTGTTATGCTTTGTGCTAAAAGATCTTCATATTCTGCCTTATCATTGATTATAGCCACAGGTCTCTCAATTGTCAAATTACTTTCAAAATCTTCATTTAATGACGTTTGAATCGCAGGTCTACATATCAACCCATTGTATAGAGTCAGCGAACATCGTATAGATGATAGTAACCAATTATATCTAAAGAAAAAACATTTTTTACTAGAAAAATTGCTTGAAATATAGTATAATTTCACTTACAAACACTTAATGTTTAAGAGTCCAAAAATAAAAAATAATATAGCCACCGGAGCTATCAAATAAATAAACATTTTTTAATATGTTTATAAGAAGTATGATACTTCAGTGGATCATTTTGTCAATTGACTACAGTTTTTGACAAAAGACAATCGAGTTAGCCTACTAGAATTTACTGCACAAATCCAAAACAACATATATGACAAAGTAAAATAACGTAAGTAATAACAAAGAAGAAATAAATTCTTTTAATCATCTAAAGATTTAAGATATAATATATTGAATTTATACATTTATCATATATTTAAATTTATTCACATTTAAAATTCACAATATTCACAAATGAAGAAACTTTTTTGAAATGTTGTAAAGATATTATTTTTGCTTCTTCTTTTTTTCTTTTCTTATGATAAGACTAGACATGTAAGAAGATATATATGTATGTTGTTCTGTATTATATGCAAAACAAAAATCTATAAAAATAATTATCTTTAATAAATTAAAATTCAATTTTATCATCATTATTTATCTTAAAAAAAAAAAACTAAATTTTGTATTTCAAAGATATTAAAGATAACAAAATATATATCATATAGATATATATGAAATGCTTCAAGATTAAATGTCTTCAAAATCAGTTTCTAGAAACTTGTACATCAATTACATATTTTCTTATACAGTCTTAATTGTTATATATTTTCATATCACAAAAAAATTTTTTTTATGTTATTATAAAGCTATTTGTAACATTTATTTTAATTATTTGTTAAATAATCCCTTAATTATATTTTATGTTATAGATGTACTTACATCTGATGCTTGATATTGACATAAAAATTATAGTATACAAATATATAATATTTAATTAAAATTATTAAGGAATTTATAGTGAAATTAAAAATATGGTTAACTATATAATAAAATGAAGAAATGAAAAATATGTATTCTCAAACATGTTTATTTAAGCATTAGATATTAACAAAGAAACATAGCAATATCCAGCATCAGACACTTGCTGGCTTAAATGTTCTGGTTTATGTATATACAGAAGAGTATCTAAATGAAAATAAAGACGTATCAAAACTAGATCACAAAATGTGTATACAAAAGTTTACATTTAATGATTAACAAATCTGTTGCATTGCACAGATTGTTATATTCATTTTATCAAACGATTTATATGCATATGTATATATATGTGTATATTTATATATGTATAAATGCTATATAGATTGCTCTTGAATATTTTATATTCTTCCATAGAACATTTAGAAGGAGCAATACAAATTCGTATGCTTGTTTTTGTTCAGTTTTCTACAAAAGAAAAGCATAAAAAAATAATTATGAACGCTTCAAACAAACACTTTAAAAATTATACATATTTGACTTCCAATATCCCAACATTAATAAATCAATAACATATGTGCTAAACAATTTCCTTAAAACCCAAAAATAAAGCAACAAAAATTACTTGAACTTACAATGATAAGAAATTTTCTTTAAGATATCTTTTAAAATATATATGATAACATTAAATTTAGACTTTCATCACAGAAAAATATTTCTGAATGAAAAGAAAAAGAAATAGCTATGTTTATGTGCACATTTATAAAATTGTGATACAAAAAGAATTTGATTATCTTCTAAGATAAACTATTTTCATTCAACTTTTCTTTTTCTTTCTGATACAGAAACTTGCATTGGATATAATTTAATGTGATTAGTAAATCTATTGCGTTTTTGCATCTAATAGCATTTTTAATAAGACTGACCAGAATTGTGAAGTAAAATGCAAAAGGAACCATAAAATTTTTTGTTGATTATATTTAAAGTATAGATTTAAGACAATGCAGAATTATTATAATGTAGTTTCAATATTCATAAAATTTTATGAAGTATATATGTATATATATATATACTATTATATATACTACATGAATTAAATCTGTACTTTAATTATAATATTATTATGTTCGGTCATTTGTTTTATAAATTATTTACATTTCTTAGTCAGCTTATTAAAAAATTTGTTTGTAAGCTAAAATGTTAATTAAGACAAATATAATAAATGTTTGGTGTACAGCTTTTGGAAGTCATATTATATATATATATATATATATATATATATATATATATATAT